TGCGCTGGCGCCTGCCTTGGCAGCCGCTACTTTGGCTGCTGCGGCCGCCGCAGCCGCAGACACAGGCTCAGCTCGGAGGGGTGATGCCGTGTAGGTAGCCCAATCGCCCCAAGCACTGCCCGTCAAGCCGTCCTGCAGCTAACGGCGTACATGGACAACATGTACACACTGCAACAGCAGCGGACACACACACACACAGAGACACACCAGACGTATCATTTTGGAGCAAGAAATCAGAACACGAGATACATTGAATTTGAAAATTAACCAAGAAGTGTCCAGGCAAGTGCTTTGAAGGATTGAGTGGACATTGAGCATGCCTGTCGCTAGCGCGAGATTTTGCAGACTAGCAAAGGCAGATTCGGACCAGGTGCTCTCGAAGAAAAACTGCTTTCAACTTTTCAGCATGCTTCAGGACCACACTTTGCACAGATCAAACAGATGCGAACATCCTGCTCATCGACCCCTGCGTTCGACTTTCGATTCGAGCTCACGGTTCACAGGCCAGCCAGCCCCAGATTCAAAATAAGAAGCTGGCTGGTGAAACTTGCATGAATACTGCTTGCTGCTTCACATCCTGACTGTGCTGAACCAGAATGCTGCTGTGAGCCGTGAAGATTGTCATCCAGGCAGGCTCTTCTGTTTCGCAGGTCCGCTCACCGCAAGTCGAGAAGGTGCCCTAATGTCGTGGACTGTCTTCGGTACATTTGGAATGTCGGACTGGTTGCCAATGCTGCTTGCTCCTGGCAGCCCATAACCTTCCTGGAATGGGCAACAGCTGGGCCGGTCTGGACACAGTGTTTCACTCTTACCTGACAATGACCGGACATCTCGAAGTCTGTGCGAAGCTGAAGAGCCGTCGCGAACAGGTCAGGCCTGTTCTTACCGAGAGCAAGTTTGGCATTGTCAATTTGAGGACTGGCTTGGGACCGGTCACCTTGCTATTGAAACCTGTGGACTCTTACAGCTGCAAAGTTCGGTTCAACACAGGCACTCAGATTACTGAGGGCTCAAACGGAAACAGCAGCAACATCGTTGGAAAAAAGCATGCCGCACGGCAACAAGTCGCATTGTCCTGGAAAAACATGCCGATGATTGCCATCATGGCCAGGCGGCCGTT